TTTCCATTTAATGGTTTGGCACTATGTACATTTCGTCGCGTGTTTCTAGTTTAGTAGCAAAATGTATATTATTTTATGATCGAACTTTGAATGTAAAAATAAATTTATCCCAATAATAAAAACAGAAATTATCAGATTGTATATAATTTCTATATAAGAAGATAATAAAATGGGAAAATCTCTATTTTTACATTTCAAATATTCTATTTGTAGATAAAAAGTTTCGTTTCATTTAAATGCGACTTTCGAATCGTTCTCTGAACAAAAAAGGGAAAAACAAACGCGAAAAAAATAGAAAAACCTATTGTAAAAATAAAGGCGTTACTAATTATATATACTATTCTAGGAACAAAATGCGTTTAAAATACATTTGTTTTATTATTTAAAGATTGGATATTTTGAATGAGTATAATTATCCGCAAACAATCATAATTACGTAAGACGTATGTTCTCGTGATGAGCGTGCACTTTAATTAGTGGCATCTTACATAATCTGTGTAGTCATTATGTTTTACATTATTATTGCACAAGATAAAATATTAATTGTTAATTAAACTCGAATAGGTCTTAAAATTCCTATTGTTTTTTCAACATTTCGAAGACTACTAGATTTATGACCACTTATAAATATTAAAATAAAATTAAACAAGGTTTTACAGATAAAAAATAAGTTTTTATTTCAACAGTTTCTTTTTTTACTGTAGTCAAATAATTGAAAGAATTAAATTAATATAATAACCTAAAAATGTCTCTAGTTGCTTGCTAAACTGTTGATAACTTTGCAACTTCTTCTGTAATTGATGAGGTCGTGAAAGTCTATCGAAATGAAAAAAAAAACTTTTCTTTTTAAAAATTTAGTACACCTCAAGTACGGAAATAGACAACTTAGAACTTAGCCTTTGGTAAGCAGCGATATACAACCCAAGTATAAGACCGTCTTTAACACTTCCTTGTTTGCAATCCATTGCCTTTACATGTGTGGAAATATGACGGCGGATAGGAAAATTGTTTACACGGTCAGCACAACGTTACGCCGAGTATGCACGACTGAACAAATCGCTGACGTAAATTACACATATCGATTGCATTGCTTTCACGATCGCTGGTTTTCTCACTCACTCTACTTATTACTATGAAGTAGGTCGCTGTCATTAAAAACCTATCTTTACGGAAATTAATTGGCTATTGATGCGAAGGAAATCTTGCTACGAAATTTTTGACGTCATTTTTTTTTAAAGTGCCTATACGTTAATGTTATGCGAATTATAATTCCTTTCCATTTTATTTCAACGGCTGAAATAAATTCTTTATCAGTTCGTTAATTTACATTAATTTAGCCAAAAGTAATTAATTGAACTCTTGTTTTAAGTGTTCGATTTAGTGTGAAATATTTCCAGTTACACATTTCGACGTCAGCAACGCCACGTGTAATTTGTAAATATCTCAATTTGTATTACAAATATGAAACGTTTTACTACACGACTAGACGTAAAGTACATCGTGAGTACTACGCCTTATATCACGTGTGTACTATGTTCCCAACTCGTTAGCACCACATTTAAGGCGCCCATAGTATGTGTCGTATGTCACGTTTACTGTGAGGAATCTCATTAAACCAAAATAAATTTATCACTTGTTTGTTTATAGAGAATGTTTGGAAGACCAAATTCGTCAGACGATAACATTTGTGTTGACGACACTCATTAGAATTTGGTTAATGATAACAAATATTTAATGTGACGTCATAAATTAATAAACATTATTTTGGAAAATATAAATTTGTATATATTCTTAGGATTCAATAAACAAAAGAAAAACGTAATTAAGTAAAGCCGAAACTAACGTTCCTAAAATCGTACTACATTTTACTTGTATAATGCAAGCTACGTAAAAAAGGAAATTAAAAAAAACTCCTAATATGTACAACAATTGTTCTCCGATCGTAACTATATCTGTCAGATACCAATCCACTTCAATCACTGCTATTCATAAAGCTTGCAAAACAAACAACAAAGGATGAAAATTCCTTGCATTTCGAACATAATGAAAATGATGTTTGAATGCGAAAATTCAAAAGGAGTCCACTTCGAACGTTACCGGTTTGTTTTTATTAAAAGAATTCACTCCGCAGATGCCTGTTCGGTCCGTGTTTTTCCACAAAATCGTACTTGTTAACACAGTTTACTCAAAGCTCCGCAAGATACTTTTACTCCCATCCCACGCTGTTTATACAACCAGAAAATTTAACTCAAAAAGTAAGCTTGTTAGCGAACAAACTAAAAATAGCACTTTGTAATTCAATATTGACAAAAAAATATCACATAGCGTAACGTACGTCGTATATTTTTGTAATCCATTATTTTTTTTAAATAAAAATCACCTATGTTTATAACCCCAAGGGTTCGACAAAAAATTTTCTCTTAATCTACATCTAAACAATACATACTTGTTTAAGGCAGTTCTAATTTTAATATACTCTAAAATTATTTTGATAAGCTATTTTCGTAAAATTAATCTTGCTTACTAATATTATAAATGCGAAAGTTTAGATGGTTTAGAATAATAGATGTCTGTTAGAGTTTGTAGCTTAAACTGCTAAACTGATCTCGATGAAATTTGACATAGACATAGAGGATAGTTTGGAATATATTGGCTAATTACTTTTTTTATATATCCACGAGAGCGGAGTCGCTGGCGGCAACTAATGTATATGTCATTGTTGTAGGATTAAAAGTGATTCCTACGTTATTCTATGTGAATGAAAATAGATAGGAAGGGAAAATTTATTTAAGAACTGTGTCTTGACCTCAATTCACATCACCTCGAAACATGATCGTAAAAAACCCTTTATGCTTACACCTTCATTTTTTATTTATGAACAATAATTATTCCGATAACCATAATTTTTTGTCTGTGGACGAAACGTTTTAATAAGCGTCTTTAAACGAATAAATCAAGATATTTACGAGTATAAAAACAAGGATATCTGGTCCATTAAGAGAGGCCCTGCTATCACGGTTAGTACTATCAGAAAATATTTAAAACCTAGGCATAGTAAATAGTATAGTAATGGAACTTGTAACACATTTTTAAGAGTAACGAGATATTAAAATTTAGTTTGATTTCTATCTACCGGGTCTTGTAACTTTGTAGGTCTAGTAAGATGTCCGTAATAAGTTAGCATTTATCTTAATCTGGTAAAAAAGAACATTAGAGTAGGGAAGTAATACTGTTGTTGTAAATCGCATTCCACGGGCATCGACCCCACGACCGCGACGAGCATTCAATCAGCGCGTCCGAGTATGTGACTACAACAGATCTTTTGTAATTACGCGCTGACACGAGCATTGCACGCTAGCGGCCGTTGCGAATGTGAGCTATGCCTTACGAATAAACAGTCGAGGAATTTTATTTCTAACCCATTTGTGTGAAATACGTAAAATCTCAAGGTACAAAACTCTTAAGTGGTACGAAATATTCATTTTTACATGTTTCCTACTTTCGTGTCGTGGTTATTGTTTCATTGTAAACGCTGTTATGATTTTAAATATGAATCATTTTCTCGATAACAATACATTTTATTGTACGCGTAAAAAACTTCAATAACATCGCAGATATTTGAATTTCAAAATGCTATAAAATATACAAGTAGTACGTCGGTTTGCAATTTAAAACGCGATATCTGTTGACTTGAAACGAATGTGATTATATTGGTAACCGATTTCATGCGATTTTTCTTTGCATAATTTATACATCTGTCAATCTTTATGGCCTGGACAGATTTGAAAACCAAATCTTTGTGCTATTTTGTTGAATACTCTTGATAAATTGACATATATATGTTTACAAATGCCACACTCAATGACATTACGTGGTCACTAAGGCAGTTCCTCAGTGTACATTAAACATTTCGAAACTGTTTATGGGAGCTACGGCTACGAAAGCTATGTTGTTATTCTCAGAATGAAAATGTTACCTATCTTCTCTAGATTTAAATCAAAATTCATTTAAATCCAAATCCCATGGTTTTGAATATTTTTTTCTCACTTCAATTTACTTCCTATATACAATTTGCATATGGGTTTAAAGTCTATTGTATTCAAATGTATGGTTTTCACTGAATAAAGAATAAATTAGTTAATAAAAATTACATAGATATAAAAGTTCACAACTATTTCGACTTATCTTAAGACTTATCGTAAGGCACAAAACCAACAAGATCTAATTAACGTTATGTAGAGATGCCTACACTATAGTGACAAAACTTTCTAGAACCTTCTGGAACATACTAGAAGGTTATAAATGGAGTTGGTTAATCCGAAGCATAGTCGATCTCGTAGGAGGCTGTGGGTAAATTAGTTTTGCTTCGGCCCTAATCCAACGTCGCTAAGTCATACCAATAACTTCGTTAGTCGTTGCTAAGTAAAGTTCACTTATTCCACGCAAGTGTAGTAAAAAATAATAGAAAAGATTTTTGTTAATGTTTTTGTATACTTATTTAAATTTTAAATTATCATTTGAATTTTACATTTTAGAATCCTTTAAAATATTTTTATTTTACTAACATATTTTGCTAAAAATTGTTTTATATTTTACGGAGAAAATACACTTAATTACATATTGATGGTAAAAGTGTAATATAAATATCAAATGTCAAGGAAATATACATTTATATAATGTAATGGCAAAGCCTTTGAACATTTCCTAGGAACGAAGCGACGTAATGAAGTTACGTGCTACTCTTGCGTTCCCATTTTCTAAGTGCTCTTGCTTAGAGAAAGGTTCTTATTATTAGTAATAATCCTGTTTAAAAATAAGGAATAAAAACATCTTGTAAATGTCACCGTAAAGTAGAATAATTCATCCATAAACTAGTAAAAAGTAACTTTACCCGTTACATTCGTCTGTTATATCTAATTGAGTTTTGTGCCGTCATATGATAGCGAGCTGCCGTAAAGTTTATACGGGTATCTTAACAGTTAACGTTCATAAGAAGTTACCTTCGCTCATGAAGTAAGGTATCCTAAACCTTCCTGAGAGCACGCGATCCCGTAGCGACTGGAGCGTGGAGCCGTCGAATGGCAGTGCGCCGCAAACCAGCACGTATAGCACCACCCCGAGGCTCTGCAATAACAGGTACATAAATAACATACAAAGGTTTAAGTAAGTTTGTTCGGTATTCGGGTCAGCCTCATTAGACAAAGTGAATTTTCATTAAAGATATCGCTAGTAGAATCAACAAATACGTGATAAGCACGTGACTTATCGAATGCTATTGTCAGTTCCTTATATTTGACTTTTCAGTCAGCGATATCGATTCGCGTGATGATTATTGTTACATTGTTTAAGGGTTTTGGGTAGGCTTTTGAAAACTCCTTGTGAATTTCTTTTGTTTTGTCTGTAAAATTGGCACGGCCTTTAGTTAGGGAGGTGCGTCGGAAAATAGCTACTCGTGTTTTTCTTGTCAAGTGGTGTTTCTTAGTAACACGTTAATGTCTTTGATACTGGTGCTGTTTGTATTGTTGTCACCCATAGTTAAAAAGAACTTAGAAATATCGTACCCATATGTCAATTTCAGGGCCCGTATATCTCTTGCCCTCGAAGACTTCTGGCGCGGCGTAGGGCGGCGAGCCACACCACGTAGCAAGTAGCTCGCCCGCCGCGTAGTAATTGCTGAACCCGAAGTCCGCAATCTTTATGTTCATGTTCGCGTCCAGTAACAGGTTCTCCGCCTATTCAAACACATTTTATAAATAAAAAAATGGATAGTGCTTCAAGTATGATGCGTGTCGATTGTGATATAAAATTTACTAGAAAAGCACAGAAATTACAACAAAGAATACTATCATTTTAACTCGTAACTAAAGAATATTATTGAGACTCGAATGATTAACATAAAATTGAATATGGTTTTAAAATTACACGGTAATCTGACTCTATTTCAAGTATAATATGTTATATCACTTATAAACTTTTATCTTAAAGAAAGCATTTACGTTTTATGCGTCTTTACGTACTTGTGTTTATTTACGTTACGAGATACACGTGTACCTTATAGTATACCTGTCAAGGCTGAACTACTTACGTTCAGGCCTTCACTAAGCTGTGAGGTTAGATAACTATAGATACACCGTACTTTGTTTTTTTAATTAAGATTAGATATACACGTGTATTTTTGTAAATTAAAAAACTAAACCCAAGAGACCTATTTAATCATATACAATCTATTTTACTAAATAAAAGTCGTTGAGAATTTCCAACGATCATGTGAAATGACGGATTTAATTTGAATTCACGATGGATTTTGAACCGCATTATGAAGTCACGGTAAAAACCGCATCACCACGTTACGTGTTGCTATGATGGCATGAATAATCTTATTTGAATCATTTTTAAGCATCTACTATAGACACTGTATCTGCGGACGCAATATCTACTACATATTTATCTGTAGCATTGTTTTGTGTTATACTTTAAGATCTAGTATCTGTAGATGCGATATCTTCTACAGATACAATGTTTGTAGTAGATGTATCTGTTAAACTTGTATTACCTTAAGGTCCCGATGCACTATCCGCCTCTCGTGGCAGTACTCGACAGCAGAGAGAATCTGCCAGAACTTGCGGCGCGCGGCCTGCTCTGCCATTCGACCATACCTCGCGATATAATCTGTTGACAAGTAATAACTTATAATAAGGTGTAAAACTAGTATGGCAACTATTTAAAACATAGACTGGACTCTCTTGAATTGGTATAGGCAGTCTCCAAGTCATGGTAGTATGTACATAATCTCGAAAAACATAATCCTCCTCAAATATGGACTAAACAATTAACAACGTAATAATCATTAAAATTACTACTTAAATAATTTTTAATTTAAATAGTTATTTAAATTCACTTTCATTCGGTGAATAAATAAAATATGTACGCAATGTTTGTCGAATTAAATGGTCTAATTTTAATTCTTAGAGGTTAGAGTCTAGGACGACCTCTAATAAATACCTAGACAGGAATGTAGACGTTTTAAACACAAACAGAATATCCAATGATAGCTCGTAAAGGTTATTTTAACGTCCTCTAACCTTAGTTTACCCTTAATAAGTCTTCATTTATTGAAATGTATTTTATTAGTATTTTAAATAAGTTAATGACCTAAAAATTAACTTTATTTTTAACTGAATCTTGTTTCGATTTATATTTTGCTATAAACGGCGGTAATTCTGTGAAAATTTTTTTTTTTTATAACATAAGGTGGCAAACGAGCAAGCGGCCACCTGAAACCGCCAAAATGGCGAAGCGACCGCTGCCCATAGACATCCGCAATTGCAGATGCGTTGCCTACCCTTATACGACGGAGGAGGAGACGCATATAAAGAGGATATTTCCCCTTCCTATGCATCTCTTCCACCGTCAAATCCACTTCGTCTTCCCAACCTCTCCTTATAAGAAAAGGGTGGTAAAGAGAAAGGGACTTAAATTAGGCCTCCGGCCTTAAGTCTTAGTAAGTTTAAGTCATATTACATTGTTAACATTGTTGTGTCTCTATTTTTATCATTAAAGTTTGATAATTTAGATATCTTAATCTTTAATGTAATTATTAAACTGATAAAAGCGCATTCGTGTGTAAAAATCATATACAAAAGGTGTAAAAATGTTTCAAGCCTAGCGTGAAGGGGAGATGTTACGTTGGGCCATTTTTATTTTATTTGTAATTACCTGCGTCGTTTTAGTTGATGAAATTCAGCCGTAAACATTTTGTAAAGTCGAAAACTAGAGCGCGACGTCGCGTTGCGTATACAACTATTACGCAAGTTTTTACATTTCACATTAAAACTATACCCAAGTTGTTTATTTTTTTTATATTCTAGAATTTTATTTGTCATTTTTACGTTTCTCATTGCGATATAATATTGTAGTTAGGATACAGAACACAAAATACTTGAAATGAAACTTTATAGATAGAGATATCAAAAATATGCGTTTTTGGTACCTACTTCTTTGACTCTGTTTTCATTAAATAAAATACAATTCCAACGTAAACATGCTAATAAGACAATACACTACTGACCTACAAAAGCAAGGAAATTGAATTATTGTTTCGTGCGAAGCGTCTCGTTATATTTTAATGAAATTCCCTACAAAGTACGAGATTGCGTTGGCACCGATTGTTTTCGGGAACGTAGTCAGCTGTGCGCGAAATTGCCCTTTCCCCGCCCCGACCCCGCGCCGCACCCCGGCGAACCCGGCCGGTGACGTCATTGCAAGCCTGCTGACGTCATACACAAAACGACCAAGAAAAGTCCTTAATCGATCTTGAGAGGGTACAGTAATGACTTTTCAAGCCTTTATAATTGTCTTTTTACTTTTAAAGTATTCGAATAACGACTGTAACTTAATTTAAGTATTTGCTTTTAATTTTTTGACATACGAATAAAATGGGAACGTTAAGATTTAGTTTTCAAATAGGGATAAGGTTAAAAATATACATTTTTCCCCTGTGGATTTTTCAATGACGTCCTCTCAGATACGAGCCTGTATAAATAGGATCGCTGTGTCGCAAACATTAATTACACATTTTTAACAATTCATCATGCCGTGATAAATAACCGATGCCACGATATTCAATGACATGCTTTCGAAATTCAGACGAAAATTCGAACACTGATTGATTTATTTTTCAATAATTATTTTTGCATTTTCTACTGAAGTGTTGCGTTTGTTCGCTGATATGTTCGCAAATAAGCTCAATTCTAACCTAATTTAGAAGTAGACACTATTCGATCACGCTAGCTTGCAGATTGGTTGACAGGCATTTTTAAATTTCATCTCATGAACGTTTCATCGCGATATTTTCGTTCACAGAATGAACTTCTGGATATGACGTTTTAAATAATAATTAGTTTAAAATGTTTGCTTACCAAATATTTCACCTTTACTTGCATACTCCGAAACAATGTAGATCATGTTTTTCGTTTCCATGACCTGTAAACAAATGAATATATTATTCATTATAATTCTGTAACTTAACCGCAAAAGATACGTTAGGTAATCCCAAAGGAAAAGACTAAAACATAACTTCTCACATTAGATAACTGTCATATTTCCTTATTTGGTTAATGTTATAAATAGTGGGTACTTTGTAATTCTGAACATGTAAAAAATTAAAGTGATTTAAATCCATAGACAACACTGACACACATTTTACCTAATTGATGTATAATTTTAATATTTAACAACAATTACATCACTAGGTTATCGTGTATTTTTGACAGAAACAAAACCAATTTCGTTTTTTAATAAAGATTATAATGGTTATTTTAGGCCATTAACACTTTTAATTATGATTTCTTACACGATAAATTACACTTGTTGGTGTAAATGACGTAAAATATTGCGTGTCTAATACATTTTCATTTTCAGCAAACGTCAATGGGACTTTCGGGGTTATTTTATTTTAGGCAACACTAATCTTTCTAAATATACAAAATGAAACATTTTCTTTTTATATAACAAGGTAATACAGTCTTTTAGTAATAAATAGACTCTAATTACATAGATATATCGAGAAAACAAAATTTGTATATCGATTAGTCTTTGCATAAGTTTTCGATAAATCTTAACATATCTAAAAAGAAAATTGTTAACTTTGTTATTTGTACCATAATACAATTTTGAACTACAAGCATTTATAAACTATCCGCGCTTTCCTAGTCCTGGAAATCCTGAAAAACACACATTTGTCTTATAAGAAACCATAAACCCGTTAATTAAATTAACACGAAAATATCGGCATAAACGCTAAAAGGAAGCATTTAAAACAAAATTTACATAAACAAATAAATGACGTCAACAGATATCTATTGTAACGGAAACATCGCTTCCTAGTTATTATAAAACTAATAAGAAGCCCTTACGTTAACATAGAGTTATTATACAAGGTTAGATAAAACTTCCGTAATCAAATTGACGTGATAATCACATTATTTGCCTCAGTAACATTGGTTAAGAATTGTCTTAGATATCAACATAAATTCATCAAGTAATGAAATTGCATTTGTTCAAATACTGATTTTAAAATTCGCCATTACCTTTCCTTCAAATAATCAGGATTCTATAACATCCTAATGAATTAATTAATATATAAAAATAGTGTCAGAAAGTGTGCTTCAATTTAAATAGAAATTAAGAAAAAATAATATCTTCGACATTTTAATTCTACAAAAATATTTACATTGGGAAACCCAAGCCAGTCTCACAGTAAATACAAAAACAAATTATTGAATAATTATTATATTCAGAATAACAGTATGATTGTAAGTCGGCATTCCCCATAGTTGGGTCGAACTGACAATAAAATTGTTGCTTTGCTAACGAAGTATTCGGGATGTATTGTGTTTAAACACTTCGCCGATGAACTGACCGCAGAGTAGTAAAACCTTTATAAATATCTCGGTGAGTCAATGTTTATGTCTTGTCGTTCACGGCCATTGTTTTATATTTTACACACTGCCGGTATTATATTGAACTAGTTCTATATTATTTTTGAAGTTTTACTTCCTTATAGTTTAAATTTCAAAATTACATGATAAATCTTATTTAACTGATTACGATGTGTTCTTAACTATTAATGAAAACGCAAGTACATGTGTTTTTTACTCCACATGCATATAAAAAAGCCAGTTCTGGACAAACTTACACTTCATGAAAAGAGAGAAAAATAATCACAGATAAAATTATTATGATTAGATTAATTATGAATGCAAATTATTTTTTGAGATTTTATCGCACTTCGTGTATACATTTCCTATGTTTTGAGTTCTCTGCATTCATGGTCAATGCGGATTAAACTTTTTGATGCGTGTAAAATTAGTTCAATTGGACTCGCTATATATTTGTAATCAGTATGTTTTAATCTGACCTTAAAATCTCATTCTACGTTCATTAAGCTACTTGGTATTTCATGGTTACTCTTGTGATTAACCTAGTTAATTAATATGAAATGTTAAGCAAAAGTATTTACCCAAATAAGTCTAATACCTAATAATAAAAAAAATAATGTTAATCAATGTCAAATGTTTCGTTAAACTGAACACTATAAGACTTTAGGAAACAAGCTTTGTATGACGTTCTTAGAACACTGCAAACGTAATTATAAAAAAATTATATTTTTATTTATACAGACATTGTAATATAACCGTGTGCGTACATAATTGCAGTAGAAATACAAAACACGGATGTTTGACCGTACGATGATAACATCAAACGGAAATAACGCCCCTTCCCGCGTTTAAGGACGCGCCTCGCTTCACGTATACACGCCGTAGAAAATGTTTATACAACTTGGTCCAGTTCATTCACTGTTTAATTCTACAACGCTATTGAGAACCATTGAGTAGCCATTGTTTGAAAACAATTTTGTTATCGTTCACTGGTTATATTAAAAACGGCTTTTACCTATATTTTAGACGCCTAGCCTTTGTAGATTTTACGTTTTTTTATATCCGCCGAAATGGTGAAGCGACCTTCGCAATAGCGAATGCGTTGCCTACACTTAATCGACGGAGGAAACGCACATAAACAGGATATTTTCCCTTCCTATGCCTCTCCTCCTCCGTAAATCCACGTTCCATTCCCATCCTCTTATAAGAATAAGTGTGGGAAGGAAAAGGGACTAAAGTTGGGCCTCCGGCACCACATTCATCAGACGAAACGCGGAATTACTCCCATTTCACGCCCGTCTTCTGTGTGGTCGTGGTATTATACCGGGCGAGCTGGCCCATTCGTGCGAAGATGTTATAGCGGGCTCAACCACTGTTAATTAATTACATAAACAACAAGTTTCGTCATAAACTTCCAGGTGACTACTTTAAGTAATTAAGATAAGGAAATAATCGTACGTACGAGACACGTGAAGCGCCTTTAAAGGTTAAAGTAAAGTTAGATTAAGGTTAGTATAGCATTTTTTGCATTTATTTATTATACCATTCGAAGAGCAATTCGTAGAGCAAACGCACAAGTTGAACAAAATGTTCATGAAAAGTTTTCTAATATTTTAAGTTACAAAAACCTGCGAATGTGATACGAACTACATTGTATGCAAATTTGAATACAACCTAAATTAAGATTTTGAAGGCGATTATTTTAAAGCACTTTATAACCTTTGTTTTACGTTACTCTTATCAAAACCTCGATTGTTTTTGTAATTACATATTTTAGTCATTTTCTTTGGGACTGTACCTTCATTGCGGGGGCGATGCACGACAAATCAATTAACGTTCGCCATGTTTAGAGTGGAACAAACAGATGCCGTCAAAGGACCGAAACTCGCTAATGTAAACCTTGTGACGGCGACGTGTTTCTAATTAACATCAAGTTTGTTAACCAACTACACTAAATCAATAATCCAGATTGACCTAGATTGAATTCAATTTATCACTAGCTGTTGCCCGCAACTTCGTCCACGCAGTATTAAGACAAAAAAGTAACCTATAATAACCTATAAAACCCGTCTATATCAGCTACCCTTGTGAAAGTCTGATTGAAATCGGCCCAGCCGTTTCGGAGTTTACCCAGAACAAAAGCGGCTTGCGGACAGGCAGACAAAACAAATTTAAGTGTGATTATCGTTATCAGCAACGTAAATACATCATATTCCCAAAATCTGCAATTATTTTTTTTATATTACTAACAGACACTCCATTTTTATTACATGCATAGATTAGAATAGCATATTTCTTTGACATTAGCAATTACACCAATTATTTGTAGCAATAAAACTTTACCAGATCCTTAGTTTGTAAGACGAGGATTCTTGCCCTATTATTACTAACTCTTTTCCTTTTTATAATACCTCAAAACTCAATATTCAGAAGATAGATGTTTAGAAGTTGTCGGCTACATGTAAGGAATGTGATTTTACTTCAAAAATTAATTTAAAGATTGTTTGAGAACGGAAGCATTTTATTCTAGGTAAAGTTATTAGAGGCAGTAGAATTATGTAATAGCGTTTATAAAACAATACCTTATGTCAAATGATGGGAATTGAAAATCCTTGATCTTTATCTCGCTAGGCCATGGACGTTATATTTACTTTAATACGATGATGGTATTTTCTAGAAGAATTTTAATTCTGTGCTCTAGTGGTTAATTCAATGAGATAAAGCGTCGGTGGCTAAGTCGTTTAACCACTTTACTAGTAATCTACAGGTCTTGGGTCCGAATCCCGCCATGTACCAATGTGATTTACATTTTTCGAATTTCCATATGTACATAATTTACCCGACGTTCTTATGGTGAAGGAAAACATCGTGATGCAACCTGCACAAAGAATTCAACGATTGTGTGAAGTCAACCAACCCGCAATGGACCACCGTGGTTGACTATGGCCCAGTCACCTTACTTAGGGTAGGCTCCGAGCCTCTCGGTGGGGACGTATAGTGAGCTGGTAATGATGAGACAGAACTAAGGACTACTTTCTTTGTTCTTAGCTATTAATACATATAAGTCTAGTAGTATATACCTACTATTGTGTTCATTAGTGAATAAAAGGCTTTAAAAATCTTAATTAATAAATCGTAGAAAAAGTATCTGGTAATTAAAATTTCTAGAGATTGCTAAGGTTTTTATAAATTAATTACTTCGGTTTTTTATCTACTAATAATAGTAAACTTTTACGTCACTGCCGTCATCAACTGTAGAGTTATTTTTTTGTGGATATAGAAATTGCTGAACTAATTTTTCTCTACTCTCAAACTAACCGTAGTTTGCTGATAACGGAAAAACTGCTTATTCTATGAAGATGAATTTAAAAGACACATCGAAGATATATCTTACTAACATTCCAAATGCGAAAGTTTAGATGGATGGATATTTGTTAGAGTATATTGCCTAAACGGCTAATCGGAACTTAATAAAATTTGGTTTTCAGTTAGAACATAGCCTGGAAGAACATATAGGCTACTCACTTTTGTTTTTTTTCAACGTGGACAGAGTCGCGGGTGAAAGCTAGTAATAGAATATAGCATAGTTACAGGCATAATTTACTATATAGCGCATTTATATAACGCAATATGAGTTTAGTTCATTATTGTTAAGAAGCAAAAACAACAATTTCCTGAATGAGGAAGTAATGCGGGCAAGCGCAGTCTGCTACAGTGCAGTGTTGTTATGTAAAACATGACACATACAATAATTATATCCCGTTTATGTAAGCCATCGTGAATAAGTCCTTAATGTTTCACTAATCACTAATATTTTAAATGTGAAAGTTTAGATGGAATAGATGGATGGATGGATGGATAGATGGATGGATGGATGGATGTATGTTTGTTTGTTAGAGTTTGTAGCCTAAACGGCTGAAGGAATCTCGATTTAATTTGGCACAGATGTAGTGGATAGTTTGGAAGTTTGCTTTTGTTTTTTTTTAATCCGCGCGGATGGAGTCGCGGGCGAAAGCTAGTATTTGATAAATATACTTTTGCAGGAACGGACAAAAAATAATTGACATGTTTATCAGTATCATTTTGCCTGTACAAAATGTTTGATCAAGGCTTGAAGTAGCTCTCAGATTATTATCAAAGCTGTTTTAAGCATATTTTTCTCTATTTTTAGTAAGAAAGAATAGTTACAATCGTAATTCATTGGTCATATAAAACATGAATTGCTTATAGTTCAATCATTACGTAAATTACTTGATATGTTACAATAAATGTAAATTGTAGTTACTTCTGTATTTATTAGGCAGTTTAACAAGCGGTTTGCCCGAATAGGGGTGTTTTAATTCTACTTCAAGTTGCAGTGTTCGACATTCCGTAGTACTGGTAGCTAGCGTGTTAGGAAAATTGTGTTAATTGCTATAAATATTGGCTTCAATGATTACGAAAAATTTAAACGCACCGAGAAGTAATTTTACGTTTCAACAGACACACCTACCGTTTTATGATAATTTCCCAACACGTGTAGTTTCAAAGATATATAATCTACTGCTTACCTATAGTGTTTTAGTTGATTTAAATCAAATGAAAAATATTACAATTGTGAGTCGCGGGTAAAAGCTAGTATACATTTAATCTACTTTGGTTATCTTGATACTATTCTTTTTGTTACGTAAACAATTTGCTAGACTGTAAATAACAACGATTTCGATTAGAGACGTCAGTACGTCACTCCATATCTAAAAAGATTTATAACAACAATTTGGCAAGAGCCTTGCAAACGTATATCTATAAATTCACTTTCACTTCGTGTCATTAGAAAGTTACATTTAATATAAGCAGAACGATTAACGGTGGTACATAAAGTTACAATTATTATTGAGGCTAAGAAAACATTACTGTGACTAGGCAGACAACTTTATTACGGACATAAGACGCGTTTATATTTTTTATAGACATAACATGGAATTACGTTATGTCCTAGATTTGAGTTTGCAAACTTGTCATGCATTATACGAGTGTCGCGGTTGGTCAAGCAGATCGCGACTAAATAGCGTATCAACCAAATACTACTACAGCTATGTATTAATAGCTGGTTTCTCACATTTAACTATTCGTTAGTGTTTTTGGTTCGATAACTTTACGAAATGCGTTTCCGAACTACGTAATTTAGAGTTTATTTCATTTGAAACTTAGTTTAACCTAACACTAACAAAAGACTAGGCAATCTTACTAATGTTATAACTGCGAAAGTTTAGATGGACGTTTGTTAGAGTTTGTAGCCTAAACGGCTGACCGGATTTCAATGAAATTAGGTGTAGATGTAGATGATAGTCTGGAAGAACACATAGGCTACTCACTTTTTTTTTTAATCAGAATAGCGGGTGAAAGCTAGTGATAAAATAAATTGAAAGATCAGAAACCCAGCATAAGTCAGTTACTGTTAATTCAAACGGATTTGTTCCGCTGACAGCTAACGGCTAACTCGTAACGGCAATGACAGTTATATCTACTAGTTGTGACTAAATTGTATTGCATCCACAAATCATTCTCGATAACAAACATTTTTTTTATAAGTGAAGGAGGCAAACGAGTGGTCAACGACGTCCGAAATATGTTTTTATCAAGAGATCAGATATATGATTCTCATGGTACTATACTGCATAAGCCTAATGCTGAGCTATTTTCGTTCTTATTACTTACATTGAAAATGTATAATTTAATTAACTTTAAACAGACGTATATTTTTATACTTGAATAACAATATAGAGTCAAGATACATTGCTTCAACAAACAATAGAAGAAATATTAAGTAAACATTTAAACGCAATGGTAATAAGTTTTTATTTCCCTGTTGTCTAGATTTGTAAGCAGACAATTAAGGACATAATTCACATGATTCGTAAAAGGACAAATAAAATAAGGGAAAAATAATAATAATATACAGGAAATCATTTTAACCAAATTAGGATACATTTCAGTTCTATCGATCAATTACTTGACAGCATATCCTTAAATAAAGATTGAAAGGTTTCTTTTCTCAACCGTTTTATGTTTTACGTTACTGTCTTGGTTTGAATTATATTTATTCTTGGTATGATTTGCCCGCGATTTCGTCCGCGTGAAATAAATAAATATCCTATGTTACTTAGTGACAACGTACCTTTATAATGGTGGAAGAATTTTTGAAATCGGCCTAGTAGTTTTTGAGTTATTTCGTTACATACAAAAATACAAATCCTTCCTCTTTATAATATAAGTATATATTAATAAGCTAGATGTAAAAAATATCTTACCTGATAAAGCTTAATAATATGAGGATGATCCAGCCTCTTCATGATGTCCACTTCTCGGTAGACCTTCTGAAGGTTGCCGGCGTCTAATTGTGATTTATCTATTATCTTAATTGCTACCTGTAACAAGAAAAAACGGAAATTGAAAAACATTCACTATGATAATTACAATAACTGTAACTTTTTAAACATTATTCTGTATCTTTAGCATTACTTGTAGAGGTGCCTCAGCAGTGGAAACTCACGTTTATAATGTTTGATTTAACCTAAAATCCCCACAATAACGAAGCGATATTCGTAGATGCATTCCGTATCATTAATCGACGGATGAGAGACAGATAGAGAACACTTCTTCCTATGCGTTCTTTTCTCTGCCAAATGTCTGTTTATAACCATATTACGGTTTAATCGTGACGTCATATGACGGTAGAGTTCGAGATTTCATTGCCAACCTATGGCAAGATTGTGCAAGGCAAATTCTTTGGCTTTGAAGCGTGGGCATGTTGTTTACACGATGTGTTCATAAAGCAGATTCCAGATTATTCGAAATTATGTTAAATGGTGGAAACGAATTATTTTACGATAATTTAGATGTTCATCCTATGTAAGATATAGACGGGTCTTTTATTAATTTAGGCATGAACAATTCGCAATACTTACAAAAAACCGTAGACTAGAGAAAATTAAGTCAGAAGACACTGTTTCTTAGAATTCAAGTTACTTAGCCTGTGTTGTATGTTTGTTTGTTGTATGTTGTATGTTTATAGCCTATAGTTTATATTATTTCTATAGATAACTTAGTTTTAAATAATGCGCAGTACTTCAGCGAATATTTGCAAGAATGCGCAGTATTTACAAAGTAATTGAAGCCCAGTGTCCTTGCGTGACATTACTCCGCATTCAAGGCAAAAGTGCAATGTTTCGTTCTAGGTCGACGTTCCTATCAAACTTGTCTGTATGGAGATGACCTCTGTATAGTTTAGATTAAACTCTAATCCACTTTTATGAGTTAATTTAATGAGATATATGTAATTTACGTTACTTTATTAAGCTATTAATCTCGATATGTTATTGGTAAATAAAAATAATTGCATATATATGAAAATAGAAATCAGTACTAACCACATCTGATTGGAATGTTTTTTAGTTACAATTGATGCTTTTATATCTGTAATATTTTAGATTGTTATATACCCTAATATATTAACAAACATACTCTGTAAAATCAAAACCTATATATATACCCAAAGCTAGAGTTAACTTGGACTTTAGTCTAAAGTCCTAAATAAACTCGAGCAAGGACACTAATAATTCTAAGCAGTAAACTCATGAAAACTTTTGTCCTCCAGTTAGAAAAGAACAGTTGTAGCGGTTCGCTGTCAGACAAAGAGGCGTTGACGTCAAAATGGACGTCACTTGCCCCAGACGATTGAGCCAATTGACGTGATTGGAGCGACCTCTACACAGACCACTCAATAAAATATCTAATAAAAGAAAGTTACTAATATTTCAAAGGAAATGGTACGGTCGCAAAATTTAAATAAGACTTCCCTAATGGAAGAGACGCTGATATAAATTAATTCAATGGAGATCTTTTGTATGCGAATTTTTCTAGGAGGTTGGTCTTTTATCGAAATACGAATATGAAATGAATACCCTGAGTTTTTTCTCTCTATTTTTATTACTTTATGATGCAGTAAAAAACTAGGAAATTACTATTTTCAAACTAATATTTTCGGGACTATTCGGCATGTGATTTTGTAATTAATTGCTTTCATTTTAAGATTGATAATGACTTCCTCGATTACTGCCACGGCCAGCTAAATGTCTGGTCTCTTATTTTCGTCGCTTTGGGCAACAGTAATTGCTCGATTTAGTAAGAAAGTTTTAAATAATTTAGTAAGAAAGCTGTATACTGGAGGATTTCTTAACAACATGTCTGGCTGTTAGTCTCGTTAGTCAAATGGATTTTGCAGATTCAGTATGATTTTAGACACGAAGGCAACAGAAAACAGGACAGGCGATGTATTTACGGCATTGCGAAGTTCGGTCATAGCAAGCGATGTGCCGACATTGACCCGAATGTGATAGGAACACGTGTCTCCCACGTCACACCTGTCATTACTTCAGACTGCTGATAGATTAGGTTACGGTCATACAAACGTAACATTTAGACCATATGTAAAATCTTTTGATGTTTACATTCGACTAAGATGTCTTACGTCATAGATTCTAGGTCGACAGTTGATGTAAATGGTAGTAACACACAACACAAACTAATATTATGAAGCAATCAATAATGAGCAAATTTTCATATCAACTTTGCTAATTTAACTATTTCAGAAATCCAATCGAACATTCCCTACTTATACTATAAAAGTTAAAAAAAGAAAGTAGTTCTTTTACCATTAAAGTCAAGGTCTCCTTGTACCTAAAGGCACATTATTATTCGCTAGGAACGGATTATCGTAAACAGCTGACGCACCTGCGCTTCGCAGCGTCATCAGCTAATGGTGCAAGCAATAACATCGCATGATAAAACCACTCTAGCAGACACATTCATTATACTGACCTCAAAACTGACAATACGGGGATGAACATCTTATTGTCATTTTATAACTAGCTTTTACCCGCGACTCCGTCCGTGCGGAATTGGAAAAAAATTGTAACTGTTTTGGAGATAGATAGTATATTACATCCATCAATCCATCTAGACTTTCGCATTTATAAAAAGTATGATACATTAATTTAACTTTAAATGCATAAATAGGTATTTATTTTGCTAACATTAATTAAAATGTATTTATTTTCATTTCAAAATTTCATTAAACGGGTTAAGAACCAACATTTCATTATTTCAATTTATTTTCCTATGCAATTCGGAAATTGTAGCCACAGAAGTAGATATTTTAAATGAATAACGAATGTTGACTCATACAGTAAACGATAAAATGAAAACCATTTTGAAATGTTTAATTTCCGTTAGGTCGTATTTTAAAATTAATGTTTCCTAAAAGTATTTAACTTTAGCTTGCAACCCAAACAGGTAGGCATTAGTAACTTGTATTTCTACGATAATGACGCTAAACCCCTTGTCTTCTCCTGTCTAAAAACACTCCTGTGATAGGTCTTTAGTAATTACACCAGAATACGACATTGTATCTAACCTTATGCTTCTTTTTTAACTCGTAACGTTTTTATAGTGACTTAATTAATGTACAACAATCGATAAATAAATATTTATTAAATATCCGTAAAACGACAGTTCGAGTTAGGCTTATTATTATTCTCAAGGATTAAAAACTATAATTATTAACTATACTTTTTCTTTCTCGTATGTATTTTTACGCTTTTATAGAGCAACCCTTGGAACGTTTAAAAATGTTGCCATAAAAATGCCTCGTTACGACTCCCGCCCGCTTCGAGCTGTAAAATAAGCAATCTAATTAGTAGTTGTAACCCTGTCGTAATGAACCCAACGTTGCGCGTAAATTATTTTTATATTAAAACTAACCTATAACATAATTTTAACAATAACTTATGTACACGTAAATTACATTAGTGTATTTCTACCTTTTTTCGAAATATTATTATTGAATATTAAACTAATATTCAGAGATGGTAATCATACTTCATACTAATATAAATGCGAAAGTTTCGATGGATGGATAGATGTTTGTTAGAGTTTGTAGTCTAAACGCCTGAACGGATTTCTATGAAATTTGGAATAGATGTAGAGGATATTCTGGAAGAACACATAGGATACTTGCTTTTGTTTTTTCAATTCCACGCGGATGGAGTCGCGGGCGAAAGCTAGTTATTTTATAAATTAGGTTAGGCGTTTTAAATTTTTTCTTTTCTACTTGAAGTTTGTTCTATATACAATAAGATGTTAATAGTTAAATAGATATCTCGCTTAAGTATTTCAGACACAATAAATCAATGTCACGTGTAACGAGCGAAGTAGTTCTGTGCCAATCCGTGCGAAAAACGATTTCATTTTTACACAATGATGAGACACTTTAACGATAACATTCCTTATAAATGCAGTATTGATACGAGAGTCACAAAATATCTCACGATCTTATAACCTTGTTAGGTTTTGATATAAAAACATTCAGAGTTATTAACAAGAATTTGATGACATTCTTCAAAGTTTTAGTAACTAAATATGTACGTCAAGTATTTTAATATTGATGTACATACGTTTTGTCCTACATTTTTCTTTTCCCGCCACTCACCTGTCATGTAGGTCAATAACCTGGATGTTATTGAACCGTCTAAGGCAAAGTGTAGGGGCAGGGTAACGCACGAGGGCGCAGCTAGGATTTACAAAAGTATTACTTTGTGGAAACCTATGACTTATTCTCTTTGATTTTTATATATAGAGTAACATACGTGTTTTTAAATATGCGATTTACGCAATAGTTTTTATATTATAGTAGTTATTGAGTGTGTTTAACTTAAATGACAATGGATAAGATATATCGGTTACAAAATCTATAGAGCAATAAGAGTGAAGGACAGTCTATGGTAGGTAGCCCAAAAGAAAATTCGTTCTGATCAAAGTCTGGATTGTACTATAGTGTCGCAAGTATTAGTAATTTGCAAATACTTATGATAATCGTGAACTTAGTGACCCCTTAGGGTTATCGAACTGACAGAAATATATCTATATATTTCGGAAGTAATATGATGAAATATCAAGAAATTTAATCCATATAAATAATTGAATTTCCGGCTTAAACGTACAGAGGTGAAGAAAGTTATCAGTCATGTTTTCGTACTTTGCCGATAAAAACTTTAAACGGATCTTATGAATGTTATTGTTTTTATTAATTTTTCCTTAACTAGTTTATAAATCTTTATAAACATTAATTATGTTATTTGTAAAGTAATTACTGAGAAATTGCAATTACTAGCTTCTACCTAGATTTATTATATTGTAACACAAATTTTTGCTTCTCTACCCATCTTTAAAAAACATAATCTAACACGTCATACATACATCTAGATTTGTTTGAAAATATTCTTTTTAATGAGTGAATTTTATTTATCAAAGTACTCTCCATACAGAACAGATAGCAACTGTAACTTTAAAACAAAGGCAATAATTTCCA